CCTCTGCATGTCTATGTGGAAATATTATGCCCTGTTGCATAAGTGCACAAGACAGGCTTTCAGATACAGAGGGGTCAGCTCATTAACCCCACATTTAAAAACTGATTCTTTGCTTTGCTTGCCTCACTCCATCCATATAAGTACTGTTATAATTAACTGTCAGTACAGATTAGGCAAGTTTTAGTTTATGGACTATACTCTTTAACATGGGTATTAATCATATGTCATGTTGATACAGATTACTTTTAAATTTCATTTTAAACCTACTTGAGTTTTAGCCATGTTTTAAACATTTCTCAGTATTCATTCAATATCTTTTAAAGGTAATGTCAATTTAATATATTGAATCACTGGTGTCTCTAAATCTTAACAATGACTATGGTATATCTTGTTCCCTAAATTTCCTGAATCCCCATAATTATAAGGCTAGCTTGAGAACTAGAAAGGCCAACATGTTACATTGATTTTGAAAAGATTAAATGGCTGCGTATCACCAAAAATCTTGCTAGAACTGAAACCAAATTCTAGTTAACAAATATGTATGTGAGTGCCTACTGTGGACTCAGCATTGTTCTAGGCATGCAGAAATTCAGTAGTAAAAGGCAAAATTTATTGCTCTTTTGGTGCTTAAACTTTTACAGATCATCTTGCTCATTTATTTTGAAGATGAGAAAAACAGAAGATTGAAAATATTAAGAGCTAGGGTAATAATTCAGAGCAGGTGTACAGACTGCTGAGCAGGGCAAGGGACTGGGCTCAATGCTCAGTACCACGAAAACAACAAACAACAACATTAAAAAGAAAGGTATTAAGTAGGTTTTCCAAAGGATGAGCTTAAAGGAGTGTATTGGTCAATGCTTACTAGAGTCAGATGTAGAACAGTGCAAATGCCTGTGCGCTGGAGACCTAAAGGACCCAGTCAAGGGCTGGGAGCCCAGGGCACTGTCCTGTGCAAGTCTGCACCAAGGACCTGCACTGGAAAGGCCCCTGGGCCAGTGGTGGATGCTAGAAAGTCTGTGCCAGTGGGGTGAAAGATCTGTCCCAAAAGACTGAGAAACCTGCGCTGGAAGCTAAGATCCAAGATGAAAGATGAAAACTAAAACTCTCCTGAAGAAAGACAGCAGCCAAAAGTCCTTTGAAGAAAAACCAACAGAAAGCAGCTTGCTCAGGAAAATCAATCTTTCCTCAGGAAACGCAACCTTTCCCTCCTGTTCTCCTTTATGCCTTCTGGCAACAGTCCTCAGGTGAGTCATTCATGCCCGGAACCATGCTGACCCAGTTCAGTGGGACGTTCCCACTTAAACTGACTATTAATTAATCCACACAGGGAGGTATGTATCAAGTTCAGTGAGGAGTAAAAGAAAGTTCCAAATAATCAAAGGAGATTTCACCCAGGAGTTTATTGGAAAAGTACTTCTAAAATAAGCTCTGCTTATCTGGGAATTAAAAAAGAGAAGAATATATACAAAGCAAAACAAAAAGTTTAAAGATCCTGATGACTTGGGAAACCAAGTACCAATGATGGCAATGCAGAAGGAGAAGCAGTTTAAGAGTCCACTTTTGGATCGTTACTAGAAATATTTGTGAAAAGGATAAGATGTCCAAGACAGTAGTGGTCTGCAGATGATTTCAGAAGAGAAAGAGAATAGGGTAGATAAATGCACAGCAATATACATACATATAATTCCAATGGCAAAGTTATGACAGTTGATTACTAAAATGGTACTGTGCATTGCACAATAATTTTCATTAAATACAATTAAAATTACAATTTTATTGGTACAATTTAGAAATACATAATGATCACTTTCCTTACAGGGAACTTATACCTGTGCATGCTGTATCTTAGTTCCTCCTCTTTGCCCCATTCTCTTCCCCTCCTTTCCATCCCTTTTCCCCTCCATGTTTAAAAGCTTTGTCTCCATTTTATTATTCTATTCTCATATTTTTCTTTTTCCTTCCTCTCTTTCCCACTCCCCTTTCTTTTTGAACAATGTCTTCCTATTTCACAATATCTGTTACATATTTTGGTTTTTATTTACACTTTCAGTTTCTCACATCAAAGAAACTGTAATATTTACACATGTATGTTCAATTAATTTCACTTAAGAGTATGGTTTTAAGGTGCATCCTTTTACCTAGAAATGTCTCAAGGTTATCCTTCTTTATGGCTGAGTACTACTCCACTGGAAAAACCCCCACACCTTATTTATCCATTCCTCAGTTGATGGGCCTTTGGGTTGTTTCTGAGATCTAACTATTACAAATTGTGCTGCTATAAACATGGATGCACATATATCACTGTGGTATGATGCTTTTAATTCTTTTGGGAAGATACCAAGAAGGGGAACAGCTGGGTCAAATGGGATCTCTACTTTTAGGTTTTTGAGGAATCTCCACACTTATTATCAAAGTAGTTGCACCAGTCTGCATTCTCACCAACAGTGGAAAAGGATCCCTTTGCCTCCTCAGCCCCTCCAGCATTTGTTAGTGGTTGATTTCTTGATAATAGACTTTCTTTCTGGAAATGGAATCTCAGCATTGTTTTACTTTACAACTCTCAATGATCAGTGATGTTGAACTTTTTTTTTTCAAATATTTATTTGCCATTTGTACTTCTAAGAAGTACCTATTGATTTCAGATGCTCATTTATGGATTGGGTCTTTAAATTTGGGGGATTTTATTTTTTCAATTCCTTATGTGTTCTAGATATAAGTCCTTCGTCTTCAGACTTGACTAAGATATTTTCCTATTCCGTGGTTGTCTTCTTACTCTGTTGGTAATTTCTTCTACTGTGTAAAAGATTTTTAATAAGGTGAGATTCCAAATGTTGATTTTTTTGTAGTATTTCCAGTGCAGTGGGGATTTTGTTCATTAAATCTTTGCCTACATGTATGTCTTCAATACTTTTTTTTTTAATTACAAAACTCTGCATTTCAGAACTCAACAAAGTTGGTCCAGTGATTTTCTGTCTGAACTTTTCGGAACCCTAAACTAAGACCTAGCAGGGGCAGGGCTTCAGGAGCATCACATCCATTTCAACCATAGATATAACTTTCTTAGTTTTGCAGAATTCTTCAGATAAAAAGTTTGAAGCAACTCATATAATGCAAAACATTTTTTTGCAGCTGGCTCCCATATAGTAATCCTCTAATGTGGATTTATGCTTATGTCTAAAACACTCTTTTCAAACTTTTTACCAGAAAGTATCTATTAACCCCGTCAGTCTTACTTCCTGGATAATCTACAGGAAATGACCACGCCAGGTGGAGATGAGTACTACTGTCCTCAGTGCTTCCTTGGCACCTCAAGCATGCTTAAATCATTAACAGTTATCACCTTACATTATATTTACTATGTGGAATTATGTGCTAGCTTTAGCTGTGACAAAATACTTGAGATAAACAACTTAAAGGAAAAAGGTTTACTTTGGCTCAGAGGTTTCAGTCTGTGATGGATAGACTCCACTGCTTGGGGCTGTGGGGTGGCAGAACACGCCTGGAAGCACATGGTGAAGCAAATCTGCTCACCTCATGGCAGCTGGAAGGCAGAGAGCAGAAAGGAAAGCTGAAGGCCCCAGTCCCCGCTATGATATCCCCGCACACAGGCTAATGACTCACCCTCCGACAAGGCTCGCTCTAAAGCTCCCACCACCTCTCAATAGCTTCTTCACTTGAGTACCAAGCTTTTAACATATAAGGTTTATTGGGGGAGTGAATTTAAGATTCAAATCCAAGCCATAATAAACTGTGTCTTGTCTTTCTAATACTCAAAGACTGAATGTTTCATTTCTGCATAGCTAATCTTTAGCACACTCTGGACAAACAAATGTTAAGTAAATTATTATAGCTAATAAAAGAATAAGCAAAGTGGTACATAAATGCATGAGGAAATTGAGACTCAAAAAGACTGGCCTACCGAAGGTCACAGAGCTAGTCAGGAGACCGAAACACAGAATGCAGACTGCTGATCTGCTCATACACCACTGTACCACACGGCCTCCCATCTTAATTACATATGGTGAACCTTAAAGTATGCAATTCCAAAGCTCCTTTTTCTTTGCTCAGCATAGTAATCTAAAACCAATATTTATACTTTGTATGCTAGTTTGCAGAATATATTAGTATTTTCTTAAGAGAATTGTAGAGATAAGGATCATTAATCAAATTTTCTTTTCTTAGTCCTAAAACCATATTACTTGGCAAAGTTAAAGCTTGTTAAGATAAAAGTCCCTGTGACCAGAGATGCCATTATCATATTTATTTTATAACTGACCAGCTCAACAGTAAGTCTAAAAGCATTAAGTAAAATAACTGTAAACACTGTATAATATTAGAAAAGATAAATTTTTTGTTTCTACCTTAAGGTAGATCTAGCCATATTGGGACATTCTGAGAAAAGAATTACTTTAAAGGAAACTAGAAATATCCTTGAAGAAGGAAAATATAATTTTTCCCTTGAGGGATCTCATATAGCTCTAATCATAATTTCTACTTCTTAAATCCATGAATACTAATTCCAATTTTATTCAGGTGAAAAAACAGAACTAAGGTCATTGCACTAACTCTTTTTTATGTAAGCTCTGATTTTAATTCAGGTGCATGTCTGATATATGATCAAGAGCAAAAACAAAGCTATCAACACACACACATAATTCTACTAATTAAATGAAACATAAAAATGTGATTCTTTCCATTTCAGATTTTCCAAAGCTTCATGAGTTTTATAACACTCTTTTAAAATCAGGATGAATTTCTCAAATGAGAAATATAGATCTTCTACAACTAAAAGTAATCATTTTGCATGGGTTATAAGTTTTTGTTTGCTTATTTTTATAAATGTAAAAGAGATTTAAATATTTAGTAGGAGTTTTAATCTTCAGTTTGGTCTAGACATATATTAACAGTTAAGACAATATTTAAAATGATGTTACTATCTTCAAATTACTAATTACATTTCTTGATTCTACACTCAGTGAGTTTTTTTGTCTGTTTTGCAGGACTTTCACACCAGTGTACTGTCCGAGCCCTCTAAGTGGCATTACACCTCTATATTACGTAGCTCAGACAAGACAATCTAGTATCTTTAAAGTACTCCTGCAGTACGGAATCTTAGAAAATGAAAAATTCCCTCTTAACATTGTCTCAACAATATTACTCTACCCTTCACGAGTGAGAATAATGGTTGATCATGAATTGATCCACATTGAGGAAGATGCCAAAACGTGCTTAGTGCTGTGTTCCCGAGTACTTTCTGCCATTGCGGTCAAGGAAATAAAGGTAAGCAAGTTTTCATTCTCTGGTCATGCACTCTAACAGATGATGAATTTTAAGATAAAACTGAGGAGGCAAAAATAAAACTAACTTTTAATTGTATAGATTGCATTCAGGGACAAATCAATCATTAACTGTTACTAATTTAAAATAAAAGACAAAAAACTTAAATTATCAGTCCTTTACTTCATAATTTTGGTTTTCTAAATATAAAAGAATTTTGAAAGTTAAATTTATTTTAGTCTTGTTAAGTAGATGTATTCTATTATTTTCCAATAACAAAAGCTATGTTTATTAAGATTTCTGTCTCTGAAAAAAAGTAAACTAGAAATTTAACAGACCTCTTTTCCAACAGAACATATTAAAATGAGGGCTGCATTTCTCCCCTTAAATACAAACACAAACTAAGAAATAGATTTTTCCACGCAAAAATCCCAAAATAATTTTGCATTCTAAAAAAAAGAAAAGCTTAAACTAATTGCTCAACTGATAATGTCTCAGAAGTGTGACAACCTTCTATTTAATAGGATTGTTGGAATAATCCAAATTCAGAGAAAAAATAACCTTGCACAGCAATGTTTACCCTTCAAAATGAACTGGGAGTTTCAGCACCAAACTGTATGATGCCACCAAGAAGTAACTGCTTAACGGGGAGGAGCTTACTCTAAACTCACACCAGCTGAATGCCTACGGAACAGCAGTTCTCCTGACCTTTAAAGGTGTAACTTCAGAAATAAATTCATAAGAGATACAACTCTGTGGAGCTTTTTAAATGCCTTAATAAAAAGCCAATGCTTAGGTCAACTGTAAGAAAAGCAAACAGTTCAAATTATTTTGGCAACCCATTTAAAAACTACACTGTATCTCCAATAAATTTCTTTGTCCTTGTCCAGTGTTAGTCCTGCACAATTATTAAAGAAATACCAATTTTTTTTACCATTAAATGCTATTCTTGAGGTACAGCAAAGTAGGAGAGTGCTAACGTAGAAGGGGCTGAACAAAGTCACCAACCTGAGTGGCAAAGAATTCAGAGATGGGTCCAATCAATTGCAGTTTAATAAAGTGAAATTATACTGTACCAGAAGGCAAAGGATCACATTAAAACTGCCTGAAGAACATTTTACAGGCTCTTCCCTGTTTTACATTTCCATACTTTCCAGTAGTTTCCCCTCTCACAGCACATAGATTTTACTGAAAATATATATTTGGGTAACCATCCCTACACATACGAATATCATAATGTTAAGTGAAATAAATCAAACAAGCTTAAATATCGCATGATTTCTCTTACATGAGAAATCTAAAATATAAATAAACAGTAAAATAAATGATAATATGATAAATAGATCTTTGCAAAAGAGAGGAGAACCAAGAAACGGTGAACTGAGAGAGGAAGTGGATGAAATAAAAAAAAAATCTGTTATGTATGAGCTAACTGTCCACAGCAAGTGTAATCATTATATACTACAAACATGTACTTACAAAAATAAAAATTAAAAAAGAAACTATTTTGCATACCCTACCAATTATCCTGAGCACCTACCACAGTATTAAGAATATATCAGATACTCTTCAAGTTGTCAATGACTGGATAAATGATGCATTTATATACATATCTAATGTAACGAGATAAGCAAAACTGTCATGGCACCTGGAAAACACAGGTTCTGTGGTGAGACATCTCCATAGCAATATCCTTTCCAAGTCCATCTATTGACATTTGTCTTCTGGAATTCAGTCCTTAAAGATGACTTCCTGAAATTTCAGAAGACATCTTTTCATTTGGACAGACCTTAAATCAGGTCTTCTTGTGTGTGAATTTTTATGCTACGATGTTTGGAACCATCTGGCAATTTTCAGCATTTATACTCTTCCCAGCCCATGAATGAGAGAATCAGAACTTCTGGGTGAGGGCCTAAGTGTTGGCAATTTTTATAGTCTCATATAATTCTAGTGTATACCACACAGACAGTGACAATTGCTAATGAAGTATGTGTATGATCCATCTAAAGTTAAAAATGTACCCAGTATCTGGGATGTAGTTTCATAGTTACAAAACCGTTTTGTTTCCTGTCCTCACATATTATTTAAACTTCATTATTGTAGGAATAAAATGGTGATAAAATACAGTGGTAGCTTGGTTTACGAGTTCATTTGTTTTATGATTTGGGGTAAGACGGCTGCATATGTGCTTACGTGGAGGTTATGGCTGCAGGTGTTTGTCACCTAATGAAGAGTTTGTGAATGGAAGCAAAATTTTGCTGAATGTTTCTGTTTGTGAACTGAATTGTTTGCAAACAGGAGCGTTCATGAGCCAAGGCATTCCTTTATCTACCTCAAGTGAAAATGCTTTAGAAAAAATGTTAACTATTTATATAAAAATCAATTTCTGAATTTAAATGAAAATAAATGTTAATAATTTGTACTAAATCAATGATTAACATGAAAAAATAAAATATTTCCCTCCAGATGCAGCTGAGTTTGGGAAGGCGTCCAATTATTACAGATTGGTTGGAATACATTCCTCCAACAAGATACAAAGATCCATGTGAACTACAACACCTTTGCAGAATAACCATTAGGACTCAACTATTAACCAACAAAATGCTTCCAGATGGAATATTTTCACTGAAAATTCCTGTTCGTCTGCAGAAATACCTGAACTTAGAAAGTTAATATACATTTTCATCCTAAATTCTTCAACGATGCTCACCACAGTATGGCTTAGAAGTTAATAAACTATTAACTTCATAAACTGTTAACTTATTAGAAGTTTTTATTGGATAGTGCATTCCACTAGAAAATATATTTTCAAATGATGTCCACAATCACTTTTTGGTCAGGCTGTGACTCTGGTCACTGCCTTCCACAAAATGGTATAAATTACATGTGTTCTGAGACAAATAGAAAATATCTATTTGATCCAGCATTACATCAAAATGAAAATGTTATCTGTTAAACTGTTAATATTACAAAGAAATTCACCTAAGACATAAAATGTATGAAAAGACAAAACTTTAGATCTTTTTAAATATTCATGGCACTAGACTTTTCTCTAACTATGAGGTCTAGCTTGTAAAGCAAAGATGATGATTGGAGAACAGTATTCTATGGGTCTCTGATATTTCTACCTGTCTCAAGAGCAGAGGCATAGTTATTTGTTATGGACTAGATTTTCACACATATTTGTATTGTGAGCAACCCTGGAAGATAGAGATAATGTCTCTCTCTCTCTGGAGAACAGAGTGGGTTTGCTTGCTGTATAGTACAATAAAGGTAATATTGTACCCTAGGGAAAAGGTTGAGCAGGTTATCCTAAAGCTCATTATAAAATATTGGAATTTCATATGCTTAGGGCTCCTCAGTTGTGGCATAAACACACTCTGAATGCTTCTGATGAACTCTTTCATGTCTTTGATGGGGAGCATAGGTGTGACCAACACAAAAACAAAGCTCGTGGTGCTTGCTGTATCACTAGTAATAAAGCTTTGTGTTCTGACCTAGCACTGTGATAGGCTAAAATGCTAGTCTGGATGGGATGGAAATCTCAAGGCTTCACACTTCTTCACAACGCGCATCGGTCCTCACCTCATGATAGCATATTTTAGGGCTTGCCATTTGATACTATGCCAGATACATGGTAGCAGTTTCCACTATGCACTGGCAACCTGCGTGCAATAAAACATTTTCACAGTTCAGAGAGCATTCACTCTGGTATCACGATTACATAGTAAACTGTATACTACTATCATAGTATCTAAGAACTGAATATAAAAAACAAAGTAACACAGACATGGAATGATATAACTGGATTACTTCCTTTCCTTTTTTCTTACTTGTAATACAAATATGTTACAGGATTAAAGTATAGAAATATTTATTTATACCCTTAATAAAAACATTTCATTTCAACTGAGAACATGTTTAACCTCAAAGGTAAAGAAGCTCATCATCACACAGTGTATCACCATGTGAATATTTCCTTTAGTAGTCACAGGTAAGATAGTTATATTTTTTGAAAATATATGTTAATGTAAAAAATGCAAAAAGCTACCTTTATTCCAGCATATATAAATATAGTATATATCAAACTAACAATCAGATGTGGCAGTTTATCTGGGAAGACAAGTCTCCATTGTCTCCATAGTCACTCTCTGCTTTCCGTCTTTTTGTTTCATCCTTCCTCTTCCATCCCCATCTTTATGAGTGCATACTGAACCTGGCCTTGTCACCACTATCGCTGAACAAGGACAATAAGCAGCATCTAAATTTCAGGAACTTCTTCCTACTGGCATTCTGACTACTTCTGCACTTTTCAACATGGCTGGTCACCCAACATCACATTTAATGCTCTCCTTCTGTATTAGTTTCCTAAAGTATCAGCTTGTCAGCTTGGTGGCACATGCCTATAATCCCAACACTTGGGAGGATAGGCAAGAGGTTTGGTATGAGTTTGGGGCCAGCTTGGGTTACATAAGAGTTCAAGGACAGTGTGAACTACACAGGAAGATCTTGTCTAAAAAACCCAAACACACACAGCAAAGCACCATAAATTGAGTGGCTTAAAAAAAATTTCTTGGTTCACAATATTCAAATTGAAAAATTCAAAATCAAGGTGTCACCAGGACCCTGCTTTCTTTATAAAGTACAGAGGAATCCTCCCTTGTACCATGCTAGCTTCCACAACTGTCCTATCTTCTGACGACATTTGGTATTCTTTGGAGGGAGGTTTCATCACTCCAGTACTCTGCTCCACTTGTTGTTTTCCATGTCTTCACGTGGCCATTTTTTTACAAGGACACGCATCAGATTGGGTTACAGAGCTTATCTTCAGGGGGACCGACTCCTAACTCATTACATTTACAATTAGATTTCCAAATATGATAGCATTCTCATGAATGTTGGCACTTTGATGTATCTTTTTGGGGGGACAAAATTCTATTTATAACTAACACCTTTTGCTAAAAAGATCATTTCAGCCAATAATCTGAGTAACTAAATCTCAGGAGCTTTCAAGCCGCCACTGCTACTACTCTCACCACACATTGCCCATTCTTCAACAAGAAAATCACCCAGACACTCTACAGTAGCAGCCTATAGAAGAAATTGCTATAGAGCACCTGGCTCACCTTTTAGTTACCCTCATATGAATGCCATTCTCCAATGAGACCAAACTGCTTCACATCTCTCTGCTTTTACACACGCAGATCCTTCCATCAAAAGCCCCCTTTTCTTCCTAAACACCTGACATATTTAATTCTTTAAACTCTCTTTAACTGACAAATACTTTATTACACACAGTACATCTGACTATATATATGGTTTTTCTTTTTACTACACCGGAAGTCCTCGAAGTTGGACATCACATCTTTTGTATTCCTCACATCTGTCACTTGGCCCACAGTAAATATTCATTGCCTTAGACTTGCTTGTGGCTTTCTAAAAGGAAGACATACTTTAAAATTTTGCTTGAAGGGGCAGACTCACGTATGTGCTGCCAGAGGGAGTAGGCTACAAGAAACTAAAAACTAATTCAGGGGGAAAAAGCACTATTGGCTAAAAATTATTGAAATAGTTTTAAATTTTAAAAAAAGTGTCACTTATTGCACACCTATTAGAAAGGTTAAATTAGGACTTCTGGGAGAACATGCGGATAGATAGCAGCAGCTTCAGAGGCTCTCTGAGAAACCGCACTTAAAATCCAGGGATGGTGCCGGGCAAGAAATCCTAAGCAAGGGGACATATACTTTGCCAACCCAGGAACGAACTAAACTAAGAGAAACACAGTCCCGGTGATATAACAGGAACAGATAAGGTCTCAGTGCGGAAGCTGGACCGCGTGCCACTGGAAGCTGTGATTTGAATTTCCTGCAGCCACTGCTGCGTCTCAATTGGCATGGCAAGGAGAGAAGTGCAAAAGCTCTGAGAGTGGGAAGGGGTGAATGGAGTTGAGAGCGGGAATGGCCAGGAGCCTTGCATTGATCTATGGTGAGTGAGCGGGTCGGGGACCCTTCCATTAGAGTAAAAGGCTTCAGCAAAGGACATATTGGGACCGGGAAGACTAGCCGGAACAGGTTGTTGCAGTGACTTCAGTCACATATTCCCCTCTCAAGCGGGATTGGTGGGCAGTGCCTGGACTGTGTTATGCCGCTGACTAAGACACAGTAGGCTAGCCCAAACCAGATCCCAGTGCCTGGAGGTGCACCCTAGCAGTGAAGCTTTCTGTAGGTTGACCTGGATGGGCAGGCCCAGCATAGGCTGCCCAGGTCTCGGTCTCCATAGTACACTGCAGTGGGCGGGAACACCTAGCTGGCATAATTCAAACAAACTGTAACTGACAAAGAAAGGAACTGGGCCTCCTATATTCGCTTGTATAAAAGGAACAAAAAATATGGGAAGAGGGAGCAACAAGAAAGGGTCCTCAGCCCTCAATCCTGAGAAACATGCAATATCAGACATGGCACCAGTAGACATAAAGCACTATCTCCAGAGCCTCATAGACGAGTTCAGGAATGAAGTTATTAATAACCTGAAGCAAGACATAAGTAGAATAGTTAGAGAAATGCTAAACACCACCCAAGAAAAAAACAGATGGTGGAATGGAAGAACAGAAAAAAAGGGGAGAATTGTTTGATGGAGAAAATAGAGAAAACATAGAATATGTGAAGCAGGTTCAAAGAGATTACCAGGAAACTAAAAACTCTATCAAAAACTGGCATAACAGCTTGAAAGAAACTAAGGATAGATTATCTGAACTGGAGGGCAGATTTGTAATATGGGAGCATGAAATGAAAAACTTCTTAAACAAAAAACCAAACAGCAACAGTACAAAGACTAGAAGATGATAAGAGGATCTATAACTTAGGAATTAAGAACATAAAAGAAGAATTAGGGACACAAACAAATGGACTACAAAAGCTATTCATACAAATAATTCAAGAGAATTTCCCTAATTTAGCAAATAGTAAAGATACTCAGATGTACGAGGCATACAGGACCCCAGCCACCCAACAACCCAAACAGAGCTACACCCAGGCATATAATAATCAAAATTCCAGAAATCCAATATAAGAACAGAATATTAAAAGCTGTCAGAGACAAGAAACAGATCAGTTACAAGGGAACACCCATCAGAATTACAGTAGACTTCTCGGCACAAACCATCAAATCACGAAGAGTGTGGGGGGAAATAATTCAAGCTTTGAAAGATAATAACCTCTAGCCAAGATTGATATATCCTGCACAACTGTCCCTAGAAATTGATGGAAAAACAAGGTGTTTCCAGGATAAAGAGGAACTAGGGGAATTTGCAACCACCAATTCAACTTTACAGAGAATACTGCAGGATATTCTAAAAAAGGAAAATACCAAGATGCCAGAAATAGTGGCAGAGAGGCCACAATGAATGGAGCAGAAAGCAAAATGAAGAAGACAAACTGACAACAAACGACAGAAAAAGAGCTCAACAGAAATGAGGAAGAGAAGATCAGATGGTAGGAACAGCTATTTTGGAGAAAACAAGACATCATAATAACTAGTGCTGATTTAGTATCATTTTGTTTTGAAGTCCTATGAAACTTGTATTCTTCTGTCTCCATTGGTCTTAAAAGGTTGTATCTTATTGGATTTTATTATATATGATAATATAAGTAAAAACTTTTATAGACAAGGAGATTATGCAGAAACCATTGTTCATTTTCTGTTAATTGGTT